GGGAAGATAAGGGATTGCATTTTTTTTTAATTTTATATTCTCAAATGGTCATTGTAGATGTTTCATGTTACTCCTTATCTCATCTCAGCACAAGGTGAACCAAAATTTCAGGACATAGTGGCCATGTTAGATAAGGGGTTTTTCTGGTAAATCTTCGTTTTTGTACTGAGGGGTAACGATGCAATTCACAAGGTTTGTAAAGTGCTTTTACAGTTCTCTTTTATCACATTACCCAAGTTGTGGTATTTTCCTCAGTAAAACTTTTCATCAGGTAGGGTTCCTCTTCTTTCCCTGTGATAACTTTTCTTCATTCAGATCAATAGGGATCATATAGTATCTGCTCTGTAAAAACGGGGAAGCAGCCTTAGAGCCGAATTTACTAATGTGCATATGGTCAGTAATCTGAGTACAGTGGAGAGCCAGTATTATTTGGAACTTTTCATGGAAAGGAATGTATGTCACAAAATATTTAACCTTTTGTGTATCTGCTATTTAGTACTGTATTAAAACTAATTACCTTTTATAATATTGTTTAGAAGGATATTTAATGAGGACCATTTTAATTAAAAAGGAGGTTAACATTTACCAAGCCCATACAGGGTCCCAATACAGCAAATACTTTGATACATTATCTCAGTAGTTTTCACAAACCCATTGTGGGGTTTATAGTATTTAACTTTGTTTTACATATGAAGAAACTGAGGCTCAGAAAATTTCCTGGAAGGAATAAGAACTAAAAGTTGTTGAGTCCCTAGGTTGTATGAGTCACAGTGCTCATCACATCCACATCCTCAAATTTCATCTCAGTTAAACCTCATGAAAACCCATAGCTCAGAGAAGTTAAGTGATTTGCAAGGATTTGAACTTAACGGTTTCTGACTTCAAAATCTTTTTCTTTCTATTATACCTCACTTCATTTCTATAAGCCTCAAAGGAGGTTTAGCGATAACCATTAGGTAAATAAGTCTGAGATGATTGTGAATAAGATTGAGTGAGTTAATGAATGTTAAGGTACTGTGAGAATTGCAAAGTGTGGTTTGCATGTGAGGGGTTTCCATCAGTGATTGTGGAGATGCATAGTGAAATCTACCAGAAACTCCAGCACCCTTTTTCACCCCAGCAGCTGAGGGGTTTGATGAGTTTGAAATGTGTGTTGGGAGTAGAATGAGAAAGATCAGGAGTGGGAAATAGACCCTTCAAAGCACCAATAACTAGTTACTATACATCTGGACAAGAGATGTCAGTCTCCTAGGCTAGTCACTAACAGCTGTTCAGCCGTAGAAGATGAAATATAGTTCTCACAAGGGAAATCATTCATAATTGAGTGCAACCACCTGTATATATAGTTGTGTAATCAGCTGTACCAATTGAGATACTCCTAGGAAATTTAACTTTAGTGGACATAAAAGGGATTGGAAAAGCCATCCAGGGGCACTGGACAGGACCCGCGTCCCCAAGGATATTTTGAGCACATGCAAGTTTCTCTGTCCTTTTTTCCCACTACTGGTAGTCTGGCTGTCTGCTTTATACCACCTGGAAGTCTATTTGAATAGGGGCTTATGGTGCCTCTCTGGTTACTAGTGGCAGTGTATAACCACTTTTTCTTTTTTCTCATATTTGTTTATATGTGTTTTTGTTTTCAGAATTATGTTAACATATATCAAATAAAATAATATTCTCATCTTAACTGAGGAGCTAACCCCAACCCCATAAAAAGTAATACAAAGAAGTGTTAATTTTGCTTCCCACATTAACACTGAGGAGTGATTGAATTTTTTAAATCTTGTCTTTCCCAGGAACATCTGTTGGCCTACACCTGGTTTTCAGTGTAAATGTGATGCTAAAAATTGAGAATTCAGTAAATTCATTCAAAAATACTGAGTTTCTAATGTGTGTTTGCCAGTGTGCTAGGTACATCAGGGAGTATAATTTTATCAGGGAAAATGAGATACAGATAAATAGAATATAAGGTAGAAACAGTTGCTGATTTGACTTTCTTCTGAATCCTGTTTAGATTGGGTATTTTTGAGAACCATTGAATTCTCATAGAAGTTTCAAAAGGGAAGGGCTTTTTTAGAGATCTGATAGCTGTGTGGCTTTGACTTACCACTCTTAGCCTTAGTTTCTTCATCTATAAATTGGAGACAATAATAACTCCTACTCATATGGTTGTTGTAAGACGCTAAATGAATTCATGTATTAGAACAACAGCTAGTACATGCTAAGCTCTCAAGATATGTGACTCATTTTCTAGTCTAACAGTGTTATTTTATAAATAAGGAAATAGCGGCCCAATAAGAGTAAGTCACTTCAAGTTTTATCTGCGTTAGCTAACAGATAAGTTTGTATGATGATAAGTAAGGTGAATTTTTCATGGGTAGTATATAAAAGTTTATTTTTTTGTGTTACAAATATAGGTGCTTATAAAATTGTTGTCAAATATAGAATGAAATATTTAAGAGTTACCCAGAAATAAATAAAATTCAAAATAATACTACACAAATTGGATAGGCAAAAATTGGATAGGGAAGATTGGGGAAGGCTTCTTGGAATTTGTGTCACTTGCTGCAGGATGCCTAGAATTGTTACCCAACTAGAGATTTGATAGAAAAGGGCATTCCAGGTGACTTTGTGATGAAAGAAATAGTTTCTCCCAACCTTAAAGGCACAGTACTCTGAGCCTGATTCTGACAGGCTAACTTGATTTCAAGATGTACCTTTTATTTCAAGGACACTGAAATAAATACTGGATAACCATTATTTTAAGTAATGTATATTTCCCTTTTGTATACTTAGACATATTGCACATTGCCAATGTTGGAGCAGAACTGAAGGTTCCCAGAGTGATTAAAAACTAGCATGTGAAGAAATGGTATTTCTTCAAACTAGGTTAAAAAGGCTAGAAATTACTGCTAATGTGTGCTGCCTATAGCAACTAGTTCCTAATACTGTCCAAATTACCTCCTGAAAAATGGAAAGCATCAGAGTGGTTTCATACTAATTATTAGCGCAAGAAAGATGAGCAAAAAAAGATGGGGTGGGGGAGGCAGTACGCTGGCCTATTTGCACTGTTCAGAGACCCAAGTGGGCCCACTTAATCTTAGGACAGAATTCCCATTGGCTGTATCTTCTGCTAGAACAGTGATTCAGGGTCTCACTACCAACAGGGTCACAAGCACTGTTCTGCCATAGGTACCCTTGGCTGCTTTCCTCTTTTCATGTCTCTTTCTAACCCTTCTAATTCTACTCTGCTCTTCTACCTCCCACATAGCAGTGGAAGGGAAAAGGCTCTAATGTTTGTGGGCCGCTATGTGGCCAGCACCGTAGTGGTCCCGTCATGTTATTTTATGTAATATTGACAATAACGCATTAAGTAAGTACTGTTCTCTGTTTTACAAATGAAGAAACCACAATGCGGAGTAACAAAGTAACTTCCTCAGTGTCAAATGTCCATGCTTCCTGCTCCAGCTGAGCCATTAACTTCCTGGAGAATCTTAAGCAAGTATTTTTTTCCTCTATAATCTTGAGTTTGTCCATCTATTTAAAAAAAGAAGAGTAAACCAGATGATGTGTAAGCTCCCTGCCAGGTCTTAATAACCTAAGATTCTGTTTTGGGCAAATTATCCAGTTAGTAATTGGAACAGACATAAGAGGTTACTGTCGTCTGTTCATATAATTGCTATTGTTTTTAGACCTAGTCTGTTCATCTGAATTTCCCACCTTCCTCTTTTGCCATTGTTAGCAAATTGTATATTTTATTCTGATTTTTATTCTTTACAAATATTTCTTTGAAATACAGTTTAATTATACTGTATGTTAAATTTTATATTGTTTTCCTTCTAACATTTTATCATCTGCCTTGTTCTGTGCTGTTCCAGAGTCCTTTATGGTCATCATTTTTAGTGATTGCATAATTTGGTTGAATGGATACACAATTGTTTGCCTAATTCTCCATTTTGATAGTCCAAATTTTTTACAATAATGCTGTGATAAATATATTTAAGCATTTTTCAGTGCTGAGAAATACATCTTTAAGTTAGGTTCTCAGAAATAGAAGACTAAGTCAAAGAAATTGAATATTTCTAAGGATCTTGGCTGCATAGAGCCAAATCTGCTCATTTTAAAAATACACCTTTGCATGTTCAACCAAGAACCTTCTGCTTTAAACCAACCAAAAAACAGCATCAGAATGGCTTTTTCCCCCTTCCAGCATGTTTTTGGATAGGAAATACAGAGACAGGGAGCTAAGAAATCATTTTTATATACCAGTTACAGTATCCTATAATAAAAGTTGTTGCAAACCAGAAAGAAGTACAAAAAAATTTTTGTCAGTTTTCTACAATTCCACATGTGTGCTGTCTTTTGGAAATAGGCTTTACCAGAGTTGACTGTAGGACTGCAAGTATTCCCTCAGGAAGGGAATGCATACAGTATGTCCAAGGCCTGTGCCAGAAACTTTGGGGACTGTGTGG